ACGTCGTTTCCCAAACTAATTCAACTACGCACCGTCTTCCTTTCGAGGGCACCTTTCAACGCGAAATGCCGTTCTTTCAACTTTCAGACAAATTTTTTTTTCGAAGAAAGCGCCTCGTGTGGTCAAAATTTCCACTTCGAGTTCAGCCTATTGTTATGTATTTATTGTCGGAGAGGAATATTTCAATATTGTCTTTATATCGACCTTATATTCTGAGTATCACACTTTTTTTCAACAATGTTTCAAACAGAGGTTTGGTTAACTTTGATACACGTAGTCGTAGTAAAAACTTCAAACGCGTGATTCTTGATATTTTATGTATAGATATACTTCTATCAACCTTATATGAACCTTATATTCTAAATATCACACTTTTTCAACAATGTTTCAAACAGAGGTTTGATTAAGTGTGCTACAAACGCGTATTCTTCGATATTTTATGTGCAGATATACTTATATTAACCTTATATTCTAAATATCACACTTTTTCAACAATGTTTCAAACAGAGTTTTGATTAAGTGTGCTACAAACACATGTTCTTCGATATTTTATGTGTAGATATAGTTCTAACAACCTTACATTCTAAATATCACACTTTTTCAACAATGTTGCAAACAGACGTTTAAGTTTGCTACACGTAGTCGTAGTAAAAACTTCAAACGCGTGCTTTTCGATGTTTTATGTATAGATATACGTCTATCAAACTTATATCAACCTTACATTCTAAATATCACACTTTTTCAACAATGTTTCAAACAAACATTTGATTAAGTTTGCTACACACAGTTGTGCTTAGTAAAAACTTCAAACGCTCCTCGATATTTTATGTACATATATGTATATATAAAAATAGTAAACATTAATGTTTTTTGCAATTCTGAAGATTTTTACTGAAGATTTCTTCAAAATTTGAAGTCAATCAGTCGACTAGTTTTTGCAAAAAATAATATTCCGAGAAACGCACGTTTGAAGCTTTTATTATGTGTGCAGGAAACATAATCAAACCTCTGTTTTAGGTATTCCCACAGAAATGGTGACATTTAAATATTCTTCTAGATAAACGAACTGTAATGCACGACTGTGTGCAGCAAACATAATCAAACCTCTGTTTGAGACATTACTGCAAAGAGGATGGTATTTGGATATTCCCGTTTGTTCTTCGTTAAAAATTTAAGTGCGAGGGGTTCGTTAGGAAACGTTCCATTCAATTTGGGACAAAATTATTAAAAGTCGCGATGCTCGTGTTGTACACGGATTTCCATTTTGCCGGAAGCTCGCTAGCTAAATCGAGCGTGAGCATTATATTCGAGATTTTACGGTATTACATTATACGGGCATAAAAAATTTATTCTCCTCCTTTCCCAGCCACCCCCGAACCATCATCTTCTTTTAAAGAGTGTCTTGTGTACTCTTGCCTTACGAGCCGGGGATAATAACCCTGTGTTTACAGGCTGTGTCGTAATATGCGAATAACACTTAAACCACGAATATAGCACTTACAAGCTAGACAGCGAGTTCATACGTATTGTTTCCAACGAATTTTCTTACATAATAATTCTTTCACGAACCGATCGAATTCACTATTGAGAGAACGTCCATTGATGATATTCCTAATTGTTATTCTTTTTACTATTCATCATGTTGTCCCTGACAGTAGAAAAGACACTGAGGAACATTGTTGTTTGTCGAAGTTTGACAACTCATACGACACACATACTTACTATCAAAGGAACCCATCTCAATATGCGAACACTGTAACACAACAATTACAACGGGCCACCTAATCCTTGCTGCCCAAAATACAATACTCTTCGCCGTAAACACAAGCTGGAATCACAACTTAAAGAAAACCTCACCAACAAAAAGCTACACAACCTACTGGGTACAAAGGAACAAAATTAATTGACAAAATATAAGGAAAAATAAAACCACCCGACCGACGCCGCTAATAACCTCGTAGTGGATGCGGCGTAAAAAACCATCAAATAAAAAAAAAAACTCGTACTACTCGTGTTGTTTGCAATGAATTTTCTTACATAATAATTCTTTCAACGAACCGATCGAATTCACTATTTACAGAGCATCCATTGATGATATTCCTAATTGTTATTTTTTTACTTTTCATCATGTTGTCCCTGACAGTAGAAAAGACGCTAAGGAACATTGTTTATCGAAGTTTAACAACTCATACTACTCGTATTGTTTGCAATGAATTTTCTTACATAATAATTCTTTCAACAAACTGATCGAATTCACTATTTACAGAACATCCATTGATGATATTCCTAATTGTTATTCTTTTTACTTTTCATCATTTTGTCCCTGACAGTAGAAAAGATGCTGAGGAACATTCTTTATCGAAGTTTAACAACTCATACTACTCGTATTGTTTGCAATGAATTTTCTTACATAATAATTCTTTCAACAAACTGATCGAATTCACTATTTACAGAACATCCATTGATGATATTCCTAATTGTTATTCTTTTTACTTTTCATCATTTTGTCCCTGACAGTAGAAAAGATGCTGAGGAACATTGTTTGTCGAAGTTTAACAACTCATACTACTCGTATTGTTTGCAATGAATTTTCTTACATAATAATTCTTTCAACGAACCGATCGAATTCACTATTTACAGAGCATCCATTGATGATATTCCTAATTGTTATTTTTTTACTTTTCATCATGTTGTCCCTGACAGTAGAAAAGACGCTGAGGAACATTGTTTATCGAAGTTTAACAACTCATACTACTCGTATTGTTTGCAATGAATTTTCTTACATAATAATTCTTTCAACAAACTGATCGAATTCACTATTTACAGAACATCCATTGATGATATTCCTAATTGTTATTCTTTTTACTTTTCATCATTTTGTCCCTGACAGTAGAAAAGATGCTGAGGAACATTGTTTGTCGAAGTTTAACAACTCATACTACTCATATTGTTTGCAATGAATTTTCTTATATAATAATTCTTTCAACAAACCGATCGAATTCACTATTTACAGAGCATCCATTGATGATATTCCTAATTGTTATTCTTTTTACTTTTCATCATTTTGTCCCTGACAGTAGAAAAGATGCTGAGGAACATTGTTTGTCGAAGTTTAATAACTCATACTACTCGTATTGTTTGCAATGAATTTTTTTACAGAATAATTCTTTCAACGAACCGATCGAATTCACTATTTACAGAGCATCCATTGATGATATTCCTAATTGTTATTATTTTACTTTTCATCATGTTGTCCCTGACAGTAGAAAAGACGCTGAGGAACATTGTTTGTCGAAGTTTAATAACTCATACTACTCGTATTGTTTGCAATGAATTTTTTTACAGAATAATTCTTTCAACGAACCGATCGAATTCACTATTTACAGAGCATCCATTGATGATATTCCTAATTGTTATTCTTTTTACTTTTCATCATTTTGTCCCTGACAGTAGAAAAGATGCTGAGGAACATTGTTTGTCGAAGTTTAACAACTCATACTACTCATATTGTTTGCAATGAATTTTCTTATATAATAATTCTTTCAACAAACCGATCGAATTCACTATTTACAGAGCATCCATTGATGATATTCCTAATTGTTATTCTTTTTACTTTTCATCATTTTGTCCCTGACAGTAGAAAAGATGCTGAGGAACATTGTTTGTCGAAGTTTAATAACTCATACTACTCGTATTGTTTGCAATGAATTTTTTTACAGAATAATTCTTTCAACGAACCGATCGAATTCACTATTTACAGAGCATCCATTGATGATATTCCTAATTGTTATTTTTTTACTTTTCATCATGTTGTCCCTGACAGTAGAAAAGACGCTGAGGAACATTGTTTATCGAAGTTTAACAACTCATACTACTCGTATTGTTTGCAATGAATTTTCTTATATAATAATTCTTTCAACAAACCGATCGAATTCACTATTTACAGAGCATCCATTGATGATATTCCTAATTGTTATTCTTTTTACTTTTCATCATTTTGTCCCTGACAGTAGAAAAGATGCTGAGGAACATTGTTTGTCGAAGTTTAACAACTCATACTACTCATATTGTTTGCAATGAATTTTCTTATATAATAATTCTTTCAACAAACCGATCGAATTCACTATTTACAGAGCATCCATTGATGATATTCCTAATTGTTATTCTTTTTACTTTTCATCATGTTGTCCCTGACAGTAGAAAAGATGCTGAGGAACATTGTTGTTTGTCGAAGTTTGACAACTCATACTCGTATTATTTGCTATGAATTTTCTTATATAATAATTCTTTCAACAAACCGATCGAATTCAGTATTTACAGAGCATCCATTGATGATATTCCTAATTGTTATTCTTTTTACTTTTCATCATGTTGTCCCTGACAGTAGAAAAGACGCTGAGGAACATTGTTTATCGAAGTTTGACGTTACTGGTTCACCTGGTGCGTGGTACTCGTACCACTATTGGACGTTTCAGAGGGACGCGTGGGCGTGTACGTTGGCACTTCTTTAAGCTAGGTGGTCGAGTGTTTTTCAGTGCAACTCCAGCCGCTTTAGCAATGCCTACGATATGGTCGTCGGTCACATTTCGCGGCGCTGTCTTCGCTTTCGCAACGCGTTGTTCCATATCGTCTCACTTTCCGCTTAACCTTCGCGGCTCGTGTCGGTCGGTAATCGATTTCAGTGCTAATCCCTCGCACCCTGCTGCGTTCCGTGTTAACGAACCGACCTTGCACGTGTACACCTTTATCGAGGTTGATGGTCGATTGCTCTCCGGACTCGCTTCCAATTATGCTCCTAAATCGCGCGAGAATCGTGTAACGGCGTGGCGGAAATCCCGTCGGACGATTTTTACCACCTTTCGCGACTATTTCTGAACGATACGCGAACGCAATTAATACGATACTCAGTGCCTTGTCAGCTTAGTGTGATCAATGTGTGACAACGAGATTTAAAATAAGAGTCGACGAACCAGTGGAACATTCGATCGTTCGCGATACAAATTGGCGACGTGGTTCTTAGGTCAGTTATAGTTGCGGTAGAAAGTAACTTTGCACAATCTTTTCTATCTCTGTCAATATTTTTTATTTTCGAAAGTTCAGTCATTTTCGACTGATGATCGTGTCAGTGTATGGGTAAACAATGTTAACGCTAGATTTGTAGACATTGGTTACGTTAAAATGCGATTTTTGTTTTCATTGAAATATTAATTTTAAAAGTTGTTCACCATAAATGAAAAGAAACTTGTTTCTTACGAATTCATTCCATTTATTTTATACCAAATGCTGTTTTCTTTTTGATATTAATGGACAAGTAATGCGCGATTACGAAATCGATAGAGAGGTATAATATTTTTGTTTTTCTAATACTAGTAACGTCTACGTGAATTTTACAATCGCGTAATTACTGTAATTTAACGATTTGATAAACAATTTGTATCGTTTCTGACGGCTCTGAGTCACTGTGGCTCCATTGGCGCGTTCCTTTTAAGGTTCGAAATGGCATGTAATCGATTCCGGTGATAATTATATGCGCCAATAGTTCGAACATGACCCCGTGACGTCCATTGTTTCTCGCTATGATGATATCTGTCGGTAATGATCAATAATTTGGATACCGTCATGGAATACATTGGATAGAGGACGTATTGGGTGGCACGCAGTCCAAAGCGTAAACGGATATGAAACTGTCAATTATTGAAAACGCGATCGGGGCCGATGTCATCGAGATAAAAACTCGCGTCGAAGTCAATATTGTGTTAAAATCTCGAAATCGTGATTTTCCGATCTCAGATAACCACGTATTAAATGTTTCTCAATTAATATAATAAATTGAGCATCTATTTAAGAGGGGATTCTCGTCAGGAACGCAATTTTTTATTTGTCAAAAATTTTTGAGAAATAATGAGAATTGTATACGATTTCATATAATTGTCTTCAATCGTTTGAAAATTATCGCATAAGATGGATCACTTTGATGGATCATGCAAAGTATTAGGTTGTTACCTTATGAAACGTCCGATTTTTAAAACAAATTTTAAGAAAGTTTCGTTAGTACTAAACTTTATTGATGAAAGTAACTATCATTCTATACATTTCTCATAACGTGTATTAAATTTCCTGATTCCATTTCCGTAATTATTTGGATTTCTAGAATTTAGAAATTTTTGAAAAGCGTTCTTCACGGACTCTTGATTAGAAAACGTGTTTTCAAGAGGGAAGAGTATAAGATGTTTAAAAAGATGAAAGTCTTCATAAAATGATAAGCTTTGAAATGATATCTCACACATTTACTATATAAAATCGGTCATTTCATATGTAACAAGTTAACACAAACGCTGTAAAACCGAATTTGATATATTTATAAATTCTTTTCGATGAAAATAATGAGAATTACGTAAGATTTTATATATTTATCTTCATTCGATTGAAAATTATCGCGTACACGGTCTTGTTAGACAAATTGATGGCAACTATTTAAAGTACAAGAGCTCTAAAACCGAATTTTCTGTATTTAGACATTTTTTTTATGGAAATAATGGGAATTACATTCGATTTTGTATAATTATCATCGACGGTTTGAAAATTATCGCGTACACAGTCTTCTTAAACAAATTGATAACGACTATTTAAAATACAAAAACCCTAAAACCGAATTTTCTGTATTTATAGATTTTTTTCGATGGAAATAATGAAAATTACCTACGATTTTATATAATTATCATCAACCATATGAAAATTATCGTGTCCATGGTTTTGTTGGCTAATTTAGCGAGAGCCATGTAAAGTTCAAAAGCTCTAAAATTGAATTTTCTGTATTTATATGATTTTGTTGAATGGAACTAATGAGAATTAAGTAATATTTTATTTAACTATCTTCATCCGTTTAAAAATTGTCGCGTACACAATCTTCTTAAACAAATCGATGACGATTATTTAAAATACAAAAACTCTAAAACCGAATTTTCTGTATTTATATATTTTTTCGATGGAAATAATGAAAATTACATACGATTTTATATAATTATCATCAACCATATGAAAATTATCGTGTCCATGGTTTTGTTGGATAATTTAGCGAGGGCCATGTAAAGTTCAAAAGCTCTAAAACCAAATTTTCTTTATTTATATGATTTTGTTGAATGAAACTAATAAGTATTAAGTAGTATTTTATTTAGTTATCTTCACCAGTTTGAAAATTGTCACGTTTACAGTTTCGTTAAACAAAATTGGTAACGATCGTGTAAAGTACAAAAGCTCTAAAATCGAATTTTCTGTATCTACATGACTTTGTCGAACGGAACTAATGAGAATTACATACGATTTTATTTAATTACGTAAAGTATAAAATCTCTAAAACCATCGACGCATAAACCCAGCGACGACGTAATCAAATGGAGACCATGTAAGCACCCGGGCGATCGTTTTTATCTATCCGAGTTTGCGGCATGCAATCAGAGAGGCGCCCGTTGACTCGTGACGCTTCCGGTCCAGGCTTCCGGTTCGCAGAACCGCACCGTTTCCGTTCGGTTGGCCAACCCACCGATCCGGACCGGTCGTCGTCGTATATCGTTCGCCCCGCGTCCGAGAAACACTATCGAAATCGCTGCCAGCATCTTGTCACCGTGAAACACCGACGCGCGTCATACTCGTTCCGAGTCCGGATAATTGAGTCGCGTGATTTTTCGTTGCCCGTTCCCGGGTCCACGGCGCCGCGCGGATCGAGAATCGAATATTTAATGCGCGGCGCCAGAAACGGGGTTACGCGCAATTTTCGGGGCCAATCTGCGCACACATGCGGCCGGAGATTCGACGACTTAAAAATTGATCCGAACTTCGTGCCGGTTAGCTAACTGCTTCACTGACCCGTGCGCAATTGTGAACGGCGCTGAATAAATTATGGCGATTGGAATACGCGCGCAGACGCTAGTTATGCCCGTTGTACAGGGTGTTACCGAAATGGCGGCACCAACGGGGCTGAATCCGAGTCGAGAAAATATTCGTCGAAAACTTGGAGTGACTGTTGTTTGTTGTTGGGTTTATTTTCGAAAACTTTTATTTAAAGTTTTTTCATATTTTGTCCTTACGTTGATTATTCGATTTGCGTTAAAACTACCTTTGTAATGCTTATTTCGATCATCATGTTCTACTACTCTGTAATAAATGAATATATAAATAGTATACGTTTGAAAAATTATTTGCAATTTAATCGTTCGTCGTGTACGCGAATACTCGACTGTGTCATGGATTAGTCTTCGTTGCGTTTGAGTTTAGCAATAGTAGCAATCTATGGCTTGTCATTGTATTTGAAACAGACTCTCGAAAATGCATTCGAACATTTAAAAACGAAAAATACCCAGAAATGTAATACGTAGGATACAATTATATCGAGAAAGGAGATTTTCACCAAACATTTGAATTTATAAAAAATTTCTTGATCAAAAAGTAGTGTTATTGTAATGTTTATCTCTTGAAATAACGCAGTGATATCCTTCGAATGTAGACGTAAGTGAGATCGTATGAAAGTGCACGCATGCTCCACGAACATTTAACATTAATTTACTCGAAACAGAAGTTTCCTAGAAAAATCTGTCACTCCGCATTTTCGACTTATTTTTTCGCGCAGATTCACCCTGTATACCGAAATGTTCCCAAACCTCGAAATTCCGTGTTCCCAGGGGGTCCGTACACGCGAAACGGGAACGAGTTTGTTGATGAGCCTGGAGTTGTTAAAAAAGTGGGGTCCAGGCGCGGCTTAAAGTTCGGTCTTGTAACGGAACAGTGACCATAACTCGTAACGTCTCGGCTGCGTGCACATTTATGACACTGCCGTGCGTTACGTGTCCCGTGTCTTCGAATGGGCCTCCCTAATTGCACGTGGCGTCCATGTAGGAAACATGGGACGCGTAGAAGGGCTGGGAATTGATGATGATGTAAGTGATCCGTCTCTCGAGTGCGTAGCCATCTTTATTCTGCGACGAATACTCCAATTTCTGTTATTTTAACTATTCCAAGGTCCCTTTCACCGCGTCGCATTACAACTCAATGTTCGACCCGAATTAGTCCAGCCTTGGAAATTTTGTTCCTCGTCACGTTTGGGAGAAACTAGGAATTTATAACGAAATTAAATTTCGTACGTAACGTTGCTCTTGCTGGTAAATATAAATTAGTTTTTTTCTTTTTCCCAGTTTGGTACGGTTTCTCTATCTATTTTCTTATCTTCTTATTATTTCGACTTAAATTACGTTACAAACGAGGTTACGTTGCCGTGCCAAATTGGCCGAGTATTGTAATTTTAAATAATATTTGAATTTATATTCGCGTAAACATAATTTTGTGTATACGTTGTTTACGTAAATTTTAAAGTAAGTCGAATTCTTTTAATATATGTTTATATCAATTTTACACTGCTCGATCAATATTATATTTACACGTTAATAGCGTTTTTAATTGTATCGCGAAAAGGGCTTTATTTATCAACAAATTCTTTCACATAAATTGGTTATTGCAGTTTTCTTCTGCTTTGTTTGCCCCGAATATCACGTTTATCATAAATCGATTTAACCATTTTACGTCATTGGTAGTACAAATATCAATATTTATAGAAATTATGATCACAGCCCAATTTCCAAAAAATCGTGAAAGTGCTGGTAATGTATTAATTTATTTACAAAATAACAGTATCATTATAATCGTTGTAACGACAAGATATTTTTTTTTTCAACTGGAAGGAAAGAGGAGACACGCACCATCGTTCAATCAGCCCCTTTTAGGACAATTGACATTAATGTTTTCCCGCCAAAGTTTCGGTAGCTAAGATGGATGACAGAAATGCATCATTTTTCAGTGTCTTCGATTTTTGTGGTTCCAAAAGTTTTGATCGAAGACTACTTCTGCTTGCTGGTGAATTTCATACTTGATCGAATTCTCCTAAAGTTGATGACCACCAAACAATTATCTCAAACTCTGATTACAAATGCACGCTTCAAATTTTACGTGGACGTTTCTTCCAGAATGTTTGATTTATGGAAAACATTATTTGCATCGGGTCCTTTTTGGAGAAAAACGAAAGCTATCTGTTCAGAAAATCTTTGATACTCTTCGTTCGACAAGAGCACCATTCTTATTCTTTGTTTAGTTCGATCTGGTTCGTCGACTTCGTTTGTATTTTCTCGCCTGACGCGTCAGAAGATGAACAGTGTTTGGTGTTGTGCGAAGTAATGAATTGGATTTACACCGAAAAGTGGGATTACTATGGCTGGCCGGTTCTGTGATTCAGCCGCTGGCCAATTGGTATAACCCAGCGTCGATCGTCGTCCAGAACGGGGGAAAAAATAGCGATCGTTGGACTAAGCGAACGTGCTAGGCCAGGCACGTGTAAATATATTTCGGATGGCGAAAATGGCGGCGGCGCCGGGCAAGAATAAATTGAAAATGGGCAACGCGGGCCGATACTACAGCGCCTATCTCATCTACGACGTGGCGAACTCGTGCCTGGCTGCCTTGCACGCCAAGATGCCTCCTCCACTAGCTGTCACGCGAACCAACCCTCTGTCTCCGCACGTCCAGAACCCCCGTAAGTTCTATTCGCATCTTTCTATTTTCCTACGCTTCGAAACCTACGTACACCTCCCCCCTCACAACGCGTCCCACGGTGTGCAAGAACGTCCGAAACGCGAACAAAACGAAGCAAAATGGCATTTTTCAAAGCAACGAATATTAGTTGATAGTTCAATGTACAAGGAATCATAAAAATTAACGAGAAAACCTAATCACGAACTTGTTGAATCATAGTTTTATGTCAACTTGTATCGATTCAAGTGATTTGATAGGTAATGAGTAGACTGCGGATTTTTATGCAAATTCATATATTTATTAATGAAATTAATAAAATAAGAGCTTCGTAGAGGGTTCATTCAACCCCTAAATACAATAATTCTTATCTTACTTAAGTTTTTGTTATATTTTTGCATATTAAATGCATTCTATACTTTTTTGACAATCTAAATTTCCCATAAATGCATAAATATCCGCAGTCTAGTAATGAGAATTTATTGAGTCTGCCTTTAATGTGTACCCTTTGGAACACTTTTTTTTTGTTGAAAGTGATACTTCCAGAGATAGTAGCATTAGTATTACTTTCATGGTCCTGTTTAACAACATGCAAAGCTTAAAAATTATGATTTTGCGAAGAAAGAGGACCTTATGGAAAATGGCACCCGGTTAAATTAGCTGAAATTTTGATTTGATGTAGTTCATGATGTCTTGATGAAAAGTTCCAATGGGCCCCGAGCTTGTAAATTGAACAGTTTCCGAGATATGGGGGATCAAAAATCAATAATAGCCTTATTCTAAACTACCACGTTTGAGCATATTTGAGTGTAAGAAGCACTGTTGTGACTCTGTGAGCCCTTATGTATTACCCCTTGACCCCCTGACCCTCTGACTCCCCTTCAGGAGTCGAAACAAAAAACGCCAAAAAGGTAAAAAATGGTCCGTTTTTTCATTGTACAAACATGAAGCACCGTCTCGGCATTAACATTACAGCAGTATATGTAAGTTTCAAACTGTGCCAAAAGAGCTGTGCGTTAGATAAAGATAAGAAACGTATTGTGATCTAAAACTAAATGTAAAACGTAAAAGAACTAAAATATAAAATGGAAACGTTGGTGTCACAGGACAAATAAAATGTATTCGAAATCTGAATCAGAAAATTCCGCCAGCAAACCTGTGACAGCTCAATAAACATCAAACTTTGGTGTTTGCATTTGGAAACCAAAACGTTTTGTTTTACGGGGGGGGTCCTCGATTCTCGAGCCGTGTTGCGAAAGATGTTAAAAAATTGTTGTTGAATAACGGCCAGGATCGTCGCCATTGTACCGTGGAACGATTACCAAGGAACACGTGGCAAGAAAGAAGCGATAGGTGCGCTAATTTGAAGTAAAGGATAGGTTGCGTTTCGTGTTATGACAGGGGTTGATGTAGTGCCTGTAGCTGGCTTTCATGTTTGATCAAGGAAGATCGTGTGTAAGATGTGGAAGTAATATCTTTCGTGAAGTTGATCCCCCTTGGGCCACGATACGAGTTTACGCCCTCGTACAGAAGTTGCTGATTTTATTTTTATTGTGCAGCGAACGAGAATATTGAATGAAGTGCTCGGGGAACACGCGCTGACATTTTTTTTACCGAAACTGTACATTCCTCGACGCGTTAAACCGACCGAACTAATTTTTTGCTTCTCTCGGAGTACTTTGAATGCACCAAACTGCATTTTTGTTTGAAATTGTTCGATCAAATAGTGATACTGTTACTAATAAACAGAAAAATCAATATTTTATTAAGATACTGGAGGAAATTAACCCTTGGATCTATTAAGACCCGAATATGAATTCTATTATTTCGGATTCCAGTACAAGGTTAATAATTGAATTGTTGCTTTATAGAATTTCTAAATTCTCTATTTATTAGTAACAAATTTGTAAAATTGTTTATCAAAAACCAAAGCTTCACGACTCCGAAAGGAAATACTACGTTCAAGGTAAAATTATCATAGAACGTCAAGTAAGGGTTATATCTGTTTCAGTTTTGCATTTCTCTACGATAATAGCTTTATCTTTGAGAACGTAGGATTATAGGAACGTCCGTTTTAACAACAATCACCGACTTATTCAGAACACTGGTTGGTTTACAACCAACTTTCGAAGCAATGTCTATAAGATTAAACATTCAATGCTCGTGCACTCTACTATTTACATATGGCAATAACCAGCTATAGTTATGGGTTACATTGTGCTACGTTTTTATACCGGCGTAGTATTCTGTATCAGGTTCATAAAAAAGTTATCACGTATGACAAATGCAACTCCGAAATAGGTGGTTCTACTTTGGTAGAGTAATCTACTTCTCCTAGGGGATGAAAAATTCATGTAAACATAAGTCCGGGAACTTCTGCTACGCGAGATAGAAGTATATTCTGCTTGCATCCGAGAGTAAAACAAATACAAAAAATGTTCGCGAAGTTATTTGTAAATATTGTTCTTAATAACAATTTTTTTTCATCCTTAATGAGGATTATGGGTGAAAGTTTATCAGAGAGAAATTTTTAAAGAGAATGTACTTTTCATTTTATTTTCAATATTACAACATAAACAATAATATTACAATTATGTGGATGAAAATTCACCCATAATAATAGTGAAAAAGTTAAAGAACCTTTTCACTCTCTGAAATTGAGATGTTCTGAGCAGAGGTATATTTTAATTGCTTATTCATCAGTTATTATAAGATTATTATTATTATTATTTGGAACAATGACTTTGGATGAATTGTAATGATTCGTAAAAATTTATTTTTGATTAAATATTGTGAAAGTTTTCAATTTTGAATCAATTTTCTATAGTAAATTAAATTAAAATAATTGTTTCTCAAAACACACTTGAGGTATTATTTCGACGATGGACGATGTATTCGTCGAACTAAAAAGACTTTGGATGAATTGGGTATATTTGGATCCTATATAATAATTCGTGGAAATTTATTTTTGATTAAATATTGTGAAAATATTCAATTTTGAATGAATTTTCTATAGTAAATTAAATTAAAATAATTGTTTCTCAAAACACACTTGAGGTATTATTTCGACAATGGACGATGTATTCGTCGAACTAAAAAGACTTTGGATGAATTGGGTATATTTGTATCCTATATAACAATTCGTGGAAATTTATTTTTGATTAAATATTGTGAAAATATTCAATTTTGAATGAATTTTCTATAGTAAATTAAATTAAAATAATTTTGTCTCAAAACACACATGATATGAGATAATATTTCGATAATGGACGATGTATTCATCGAACTAAAAAAATTCTAAACACCGTGACGGAAGCTCGCTTGTATAATCGTTTCTGGCGTGGTTTCGAGTTAGATTTTTTGGAAAGTAGCTCATCCCCGGCATCTTTCCTTTGTTCAGCAGCTAACGCGAGGCGAGGAACTAAGAAGGCGTAGGTGCCGGGGCGCAGGAAAGGGTGGAAACACTCTATGAGACGGGATAGCGTGTCTGTTTTGATTTATAAGAATTCACCACGAACCCCTAACCCACCTTCCTAAGTCTGGCCTCACCCCGGCCTCTTCGAGATCGAGCTAGATCAGCCCCTCCACTCCCCCCTCCCCTCCCCCCAGGTTCCACCACTCTCGTTTCACCTATCTTGCGCGTGAATAATAGGAAGGTACCCAACTACCCGTCTTTCCGCTAACCTCGCCGCTTCCTTCTTTTCTTTATCCTTCCTCTTTGCCACTGTCTCCCGTGATGGTGCACCGTTCATTCTTCTCGCGGACGACTGAACGAGTTTCGCTTCGTTGTCGGTCAACGAAACTATCTATCAACCTGTTTCCGCCCGCGAAACCACCGATATAAGGTATCAGGAAGTCGTGAATGATTTTGCCTCCGCGTTTAAACCCTCGACGGTCTCAATTTTTTCGGGTAGAACCGCCAGGAACGCGCAATTACCTTTATTGGATTCGTTTCCGGGCTACGTAATTGATTCTCGACACACCCCCCCCCCCTCCCCCCCGGAACGAGATAAATTATTAAGCCAGTTCTTAAACCGAATTCTTACTCTCGACGAAACTCCACTAAAACTTTTTTCATATTTTCGGGTTTTATTCCGGCTACGAGTACATAAAAAGAAAAAGTACTTTCATCTTTCGAAAGGGGGCATGAAACGTAAGAATTGCATCGATGATTCCTCCGAAACGTATCACGCCTCCGAGCTCGTCGTTTCATCGTTTCGGGAAAAGGGGATGGAAACGTTACGGCAGTTTGGGAAATTTCATAAAAACCGACCGTGTTCCGAGAAGCACGGAATAGCAAATTTCCTTTCTTTTTTCCTCGCCCTTTTCCTTCCGTGCCTCGCGATCGCGCAACGATCGTTCTTTTTCCAAGCGACACACGAGCTTCATCTCCTCATTGGTCAACGGAACGATCTATCAACATTTGTGCCAGAACAAGAACCGCCGCAAAACATTAGCGAGTCACGAAAGATTTTGCATCTACGTTTCGCAAGAACGTATATGTATCGGGGACGCGCCATCAATCTTTTTACTTTAATGCGCGCCAGTCAGACTGCGTACCAGCAGAGATGAGTCCAGATACTCGACGAATGAGTTATGCTAATTTCAATATGTCGCGTGTTCGAGTTACTCGTCGCTCTGCTGTACCCTGAAACCTCGATTTTTGGAAGAAAACTGATTTCCCATCGAAGTGGATCGTTTGTTGTCCGTTGATATCGTTAATACGGAGGCAGAAAAAAGAATCTCGTAGCGTTTTGTGCCGTTATTGGCCGACGTCGGGAAACGAAATGTCAACAAACTTTTTCAATATGCGATCGTCGACCTACTTAGTTTCTAAATGAGAGCTTTCACGGTAATACGCTGACGCGACAAAGCCGACGCTTTTAATTTACACAATTATCGGCTCGAAAAGAGTTGTTATCGCGCATACGTTATAATGCGGTCTAACAATATTCCATTCCTCCGCGTCGCGCTTTAAAAACACGCGTAGATACGTTCCTCGGC